TTTTCGCCCTTTTTTTTTTTTTTTTTTTTTTTAAGATAGGATCTTCCTATTTAGTTCAGGCTAGCCTTGACCTCACTGTGTAGCCCAAGCTGACTTCAAATTCATGGCAATCCTCCTGCCTCAGCCTTCTGGATGCTGGGGTTATAGGCATGCATCACCTCACTTGGGCTCTCTGTGTCTCAGATTCTTCATTTGTAAAATAATGATCACCCCTATTTCATAAGATGATTTTGACCATCAAATCAGTCAGTACTACAAGAGCAGTGCTGTCACAGGGCTTGCTTTGTTATTATTCTCTCAGATTCAAGAGAGTGCTCCCCTTGCTTTATTGAAAAAGTGCCCCAGCTCATAGGCTGGCAGGAGGGCTGGCTGTGGATGTGGATGGCTTCTTTAGCACTTACAATGCTGTGGGCATAGAGTGCTGTTAATCTGTTTCAACTACCAAAGTCTTTGTTAAGTGCCTACCTATCCCTGCTGCTCTGCTGAGCAGGGGCTAGAGACACACAGTAATGTGGCCCTGCCCTCTAGGACGTCTCAGTATAACCTAGACATCACAGGGACTGACAGAGATCAAGAACATGCAGACAGCGAGCCAGAGTGTATTGCAATAACACCGCTATGGGAAAGAGAGGCATGTTTAAAAGTGGCTAGAGGAAGCGGTGCCTATTCAGAGAGACAAGGGTAGAATTTGCTACTTTTTTCCCAATTAGTCAGGGGAGGCTTCTCTGATGCTGCTGAAGACCAGGTGAAAAGGAATAGATTTAGTTTGCAAAGCTGAGGTTAGACAGAAAGAAACAGAAGAGGTGTGAGACAATGGGTACCTTCATAAGGAGGAAAAAGCACCTCCTGGCCCGAGCAACTGTGGTCTTCTTGGAGATGGGTCAGGGATGCCACCCACCAGCACCGTCAGGAGTAGATAGGAAGGACCTAATGAAAGCAGGAAATGAGTCTTCGGGAATTTAACAGGATTGGTGGTCTTCCTTTCTTCTTTTTCTGGGCCAGCTTCTCTGTGTTCATAGGGGCAAGAATCATAGGGACACTGGGCATGGTGGCACATGCCTGTAATCCCAGCATCCTGGGAGGCTGAGGCAGAAGGATTGAAAGTTTGAATCCAGCCTGGGCAACTTAGTGATGCAGCAAGACCATACCTCCAAAAACAGCAGTAGAGCAGGGCAAATTGGAGATATGGTTCATTGTGAAGGGCCTGGGTGCAGTCCTCAGTATCTCTAGGAAAAAAAAGTATGG